GCCTGAGGCTCTGTTTCAAAAAAAAATTTTTTTTTCCAGATTAATAGGCAGGGTGCAGTGGCTCACGCCTGTAATCTTAGCAGTCTGGGAAGCTGAGGTAGGTTGATTGCTTGAGCTCAGGAGTTCAAGACCAGTCTGAACAAGAGCAAGACCCCCCCCCCCCCCCGCAAAAAAATAGCCAGGCATCATGGCTGACACCTGTAGTCCCAGCTATTTGGGAGGCTGAGGATCGTTTGAACGAACCAAAGCGATTGAGGTTGCTGTGAGCTATAATGCCATGGCACTCTACGGACGCTACAGAGTAAGACTCTGTCTCCAAAAAAAAAAAAATCTTTTTCAGATTAATATGAGGATACAGATGATTAGGTTACAATGTTTGTGTTGTGAGATAAGGTTCCTGTTGTAATTGTGTCCCGCACCCAGGATGTTTGCCATATATTCTTACGTTGTGCCTATCAAATGGAAGCACACCAGTTCCCCTCAAATACATTTTAAAGAACTAAAGTGGAGAATAGTCTATTATGTTTGCACACATGTTTACAATTTAGGTTCTGTTTTTATTCCTAATGTTTTAATTTTCTTTTGGTACATTCTTTCCTGTATGAAGGAGTAACCTTACTAATTCCTTTAGAGAAGGTCTACTACTAGCAGCCAGTTCTTTGTTTTCCCTCCTGTAAGTGTTATTCTTATTCTGCCTTTATTCCTCGAGGCTAGTTTTGCAGGATATAGAATTCTAGCTTAACAGTTCTTTTCTTTCTATACTTTAAAAACTATTGTGTCATTTCCACTTGGTATCCCTGGTTTCTGATGAGAAATCTGTAGTCATCTGAACATTTCTTTTTATAGAGAACACATCATTTTTTTCTATTTGTAAAATTTTTCTTTATCCTTAGTTTATAGCAGTTTATTGTGAATCTGAGTGGATTTCTTTGGGTTTAATCCTATAGAGTTTGCTGAACATCTTGAATCTCTGTATTTGTGTCTGTCTTAACTTCTGGAAAGTTTTCAACAACATTTTTTTTCTAATTTATTTATTTTTTATTTATTTGAGAGAGTCTTACTATGTCGCCCTCAGTAGAGTGTTGTGACGTCACAGCTCACATCAACCTCAAACTCTTAGGCTCAAGTGATTCTCTTGCCTCAGCCTCCTAAGTAGCTGGGACTATAGGCCACAACACCCAGCTATTTTTTGGTTGTAGTTGTCATTGTTGTTTTAGCTGGCCCGGGCTGGGCTTGAACCTGCCAGCCTTGGTGTATGTGGCCAGCACCCTACTCATTGAGCTACAGGTGTCAAGCCTTTTTTCTGATTTATTTTA